CATGAGATCCAGAATCTTTGTTGAGCTGCCTACATTTAAATGCATTTCAAGCTTTACTAATACACAAAGGAATAATACTCAAGGAATGAAACGTAATCTGAATTGAGAAAACATGCTAAAGATAAACGTTGCTTGGCGTAATATGCTTGAAACATATTACGCGAAGCAACTGGAACCGTTAGCTCTAAGGTCTTAAAAAACATACAAAATGTATGGGAGTAGCGATGAACGAATAAAACAACAGACCTTTCCAATTGCTTTTTCCAACCTTATAGACCAACACTTTCCAAGCTGTTATGGCAACCAATGGAAGTACTTCAGTAGTGATGTTTCTTTACGATGACAACGGCATGAATTGGTACAGACAACTAAGAAGGAAAGCCATGGTCGGTTACGCCACCAAATCAGGAGTCTGTAAAGAATACCAAGGATCCTTCACGGAATCTATCTTCGACATTGATGATGAAACATTTACAGATCCGGCAGGCAGAAAGCGTAAAGGAGTGATAGTCATCGTGTTTTCCAAAGGGAATGAGCCCCCAACGCCTGAAGAAAAGTGCCTCAGCTGGATAAGAAAACAGCCAAAAGATAACGAATGGATAAATGAGATTCCATCGTGCCCATGCTCTTTTAGAGCGGTTCAATCTGATTCTCGCTTCGAGTACTGGCGAGGTGCACTAACAAATCGGCGGATTTGTTACGCATACATAAAGGAGGAATACACCAAAACATGTTGTTACTTCAGAAGAGGATTTTGGACCAGAGGAGCACTGATAACAAGTGCACGTCTAGCAGGAAGAGTAGCAAGGTACGCTTATAAACTGACCGTAAATAAAYAATGGAGTGCAATTTGGTCTGAAAATTAAACGAGAGATTACAAAATTGAGAAGCCGTAATTGTTTTCTCGGACAACATGGAGCAGCCCGGACATATGTAATTCGTCGGTCTGAAGTTCGAGGGAGAATGATGAATAACTCATGGTGCATAAGATTGTGGGGTTGAATTTGGGACGCGAGATTGTGGACCTTGATGATCTCGTTCCCAAACTCAAAACCCAAAGAGTCACATCCACCAAGAATAGTAATGGTTACTATTCAGGCCCCGTCCACACGTATCCGGAAATTTTTGTATCCGCAAGTTATTTTTTGCGGATACGAAATGATTGCGTCCACACACAGCGTATTCGAATCGTTTTCACCGTCCACACGTATCCGTTTTCGTAAAATTTCCGAATACGGATACAAAAATTTGCGGACACGTGTGGACGCAACCCGTATCCGTAAAAAAAAATTTGCGGATACAAAAATTTCCGGATACGTGTGGACGGGGCCCTAATCTGGCCATTAAATCCCACGGGAGATAATTAATGATGTGCAAGAGTATATAACAAGTAAACTACAATTAACCCATTGTTAGTTGCCCAAGCGGGCATGATGAAGAATATCGAACCTGGTAACTAACTAGTATGGTAGGGCCTTTGTCTTTCTGGATCTATTTCCATTGTTCCGCCACTGGAACAATGGATCTTAATCATTCCCAATTCTTATTCATCGATCCGTGGGATAATCGTTCCAAGTGCCATAGTTATTGTTCATAGATATTGCTCATAAAAGCTAGACCTCTTTTATTTCCAGATATTCTCCTGTCTCGAACAAGGATTCTTATAGACAACACGACGAGGAAACTTTCAAAACGTGCTGTCTCGATAGTAACAAGTACTGTAACGACTTCTCACAGTATCGACCCATTGAAGACAGCTGTTCCAACCAGAGACCTCCACCCTGTTCCTGTCGATGGAACTTTGGATTCCGGCGCAGATGGCGAATTCGAAGAAGGCGGATAGTGAGAAGAGGTGAGAAGCGAACTTTGAAATTAATGAAAGCAAAATTGTCTGTCTGTCAGGTTTTCCCCCTTTCATAACTGCATGATTTGCATGCTAGAAAAAAGCAATAAAAAAAAAAAAAAAAAAAGACAAAATGATCGTTGGGTTACCTGTCATCCTGTACTGATTGTTTGGGTTGATTTGTTCTTCTTGCAGGATGGTTCTTCGGTGATCCTCACATCGCAACACTTGATGGTTTCAAATATTCGTTCAATGGCCTTGGAGATTACATTTTGCTCACCACGACAGACAAAAGCCACATCCTTCATGGCAAAACAATCAGACCTCCGTACAAAGATACCAACAGACTTTCCAACGCGACTGTCTTCAGTGGATTCGCTATGAAAAACAAAAAGAACACAACAGTTCAGGTATGTCTTCTTTACAGTGCGTTTCTGTTGATGGGCTCCGTTTTGCAACATTAGAAAGCTCAAACACCAGGCATTTTTGTCAATACGGACGCCAGAGGAAGACTGGATCGAGAACACCGTTTTTGTCAACGCGGACGGAAAAGCGAGTTTTAGGTCAGTGACATGACGCTACGGACATCATGACGTCACTAATCCTGTAAATCCACTTCCGGTTGCCGTCCGTAACTCAAAAACGCCTGGTGCTTAAACTCTCTAATTTCTCTTGTAATAACTTGTAATCAGTATTAACAAAGCGCGTTGTTTGGGGAGGAGGCTATGTTTTCTTAACGTGAGAAAACAAAGAGAACAGAGCTAGAGGGTTCATCGGATCTTCATGGAAACGGCCTTTTAGCGGTTTAATATCAAAAGGGCTCTAACTTGGCTGGCAAATAAAATGAAAACATCCCATCTACCTTTACCTACAACTAATGCTCACAAGCTCGTGACTATTGAATATTCTTTCTAACATTTCTTTCTAGCTGCTTATATTCTATTTGTTATTAACTAATGCGACATTTTATTTCAGGTTCTATTTAGTGACACGATGCCTGGTAACCTAAGTATTCTAGTGTACAATTCAACGTACGTTTGCGGCCAGACTTTTGGTATAGACGCCCTGAAAAAGGCAACTGGATTTCTCCTGAAGAAAAGCAACGAAACTCTGATCGTTTTGTTCGAGGATTCTGGTTTTTCTGTAGAAATCACTCCTGGAATCGGGCTTCTGCAAATAGGTTTCAGCGTTCCACCTGAACTCGCGGATAAGAATACTACAGGTCTTCTGGGTATACTGAATGGTAATAAGACTGATGATCTAACTTATCCGAATGGTACAGCAATATCCACCGACTCAACGGATAAGGAAATCTTCGCATTTGGGCAAACATGTAAGTCAGTTGTCAGTGTTCGTTGGGATGAGAGTTCTATGACCATACATCGAGGTGTCTAAAACCTTTTGTCACAACAAACCACACCAAAGAATGTTATCAAACCCTGATCTTAGTCAGGCTCGGGGAAGCAACATTGAGATCGAATTTGAATCGAACGTGCTGGGGGAGACAAAACGGTACCGAGGAAACTGTTGGCATGGGTGGCGCGGTACGCTGCTGATAATGCGTCGTCTTTCACTGCTGTTAGTCCAACGAATCGGGTCACCAGTTCAAGCTTTGTGGACGCCAACTGGAATTGAGCTTGTTTGATGTGTTGTTGTCTCTCGTGCCACGAGGATTTTTCTCCGGGTTCTCCGGTTTTTACTTCCTCCGTAAAGATTGACATGTGAGTCGCGCGTTGCGTGCATAAAATAGTAAATGTAGTGGTAGTGTGTGTGAGTGAAAGCCGGCCCATATCAGCGAAAGCTGCCAAAATAGTCAGCCTGCTCTAACAAATAAAAGAATAGACTAGAGCATAAGGAATGAGCCCATTAAATCTACCTATAAACGCGATGCCGAATCCAGAAGCATCTTACATCTAACAACTGATATTCTAAATTATTCAAACTGAATTAAATAATTCAAATTTTCTTTTGTCTTTTATAGGGAAAGTACCGTACGATGAAGGGTTGTTCGTATTCGCCGAGAACTGCTCTAAAAAGCCAGTGTACTTTGATGGAAGCTTCCGTCCAACGTTTTTGAGTGATTACAACATGAGCGCAATCGATCAAAATATTACAAGGAAGTGCAATGGTAACAAGCAATGTATACTGGATATCTTGCTTACTGGAAATGAGGCTCTGGGACTTGCATCGGCAGATTTTGATAAAAAGAACGACGAAAAAAAAGCAGCGATGGGTAAGCGACAAAAGACTTGTTTCCGTGAAAGTAGGGTGACCTTATCCTCCATGTTTATAAATACCTGTCAGTAGGTCTGTGGAAGTGTTTGCATTAATGAAGTGGTGCATTCTTTACCCTACTTTACTGTAATAGTATTTGAGCGGAATATTTTGATGCTGAAATAAGGCTAACCCTGATGAGCGTCTTTCCAATACTTCCGTTAAACTTAACCAATGAACACGGCGGTATACACCTATTTCAGAAATCGTTGTCGCACCAAAAGCATCAAACAACAAGCCAAGACCGCAGAGAATGCCGGTACTTTTAGCTGTAATTAGTTTATTCATGGTGCATTTTCATTTATTGACTTCACAAATTGCTCCAAGCAAGGCTGCTTGAGAGGATATTTAGTGTAGGGCTATAGCCACTTGCATGAACCATGAATAAATCAATTATAATTAAAAGTGCCGACGTTCTCTGGAGCCTTGGCTTGTTACTTGAGGCTCTTGGTGCAACAACGATCTTTGAAACAGGTGTATTACGAATGCGAAGTGAGCCAAAACCTAAGAATGGCATAACTGTTTGCAGAGATACAAAAAAAAACCCTGTATAAACCTAATGTGACTTGATGATCTATTTTCAGCCAACCAGCCACCTGATATCACTGTTACTCCAAATGTAATCAACGTAACGGTCAATGAGAGAATAAATATTACTGTCACCGCGAATGATCCGAATGACGGAGATACGTTCACGTTGTCAGACACGGGCGAATTGCCAGCCGGATCCTCTTTTGACAATGTTACGAGGATCTTTTCTTGGTTACCATCCAGTGACCAACGAGAGGGGAGTTTTAAGATTGAGTTTGCAGCCGTGGATAAACAAGGTAATCAACACTAGTTCACGCTTAAATTTCCTTTTGGCGCGATGCGGCAATTGTTACCACAAATGTAGCTATTAGAACAGATGAACGTGAATCAGTACGACATAAGGGTACTCTCAAGGAATGGAATTGACGATGTTCATTAACTTAGTCACAGCGCGTTAGATCATTTTTCATCCAATAAAAACGCTTCACCACAGTACCATCACGGCATGGTACGTCTGTACCATTAGGTTCCAGTTGACACTGATCTAAGAAATCTACTCGTCAGTACCAGTGCTCAGGAACAGCGAGCTGGCGAAGTGCTCGGGCAGTGCTCGGGCAGTGCTCGGGGAGGATTTAGTTTGCCACTTCTAAGGGCACCTCACTAGATAAATTGTTTATTTTCCTATTAATTCCTTTGGAGAGATGTTTTAAAATGGAAATACGATTACGTCTGCGAAGCAATATCAGAATAATACAGGACCATGAGTGGAATAGATTTTCACCGCACTCACTACCTTGGCTTGGATGGATGAAATAGTCTTGAATTGACCATGAGTCGCTAAAAAAATACATCATCTTTAAAATTCTTTTATAGGTGCATCACAGGTCAAGTCAGTAGAGGTCAAATTCTGTGATTGCAAGAATGGACAAGAATGCGACTTCACAAACATCCTTACGTCTAATCAAAACAACAGTTTTGAATTGGTTGGTTGTAGTTGCTCAGAAAGATACAGCGGCGATGACTGCGGAATCGTGGATGACCCATGTGAGAACGATCCGTGCTACGGCAATGTTACTTGCAAGTCCAAACCAGCGCCTGAWTTTGGTTATATATGTGGTGCTTGTCCAGATGGCCTTGTTGGAAATGGAGAAGACTGCAATGGTAACAAAATTTGCTTCTTCTTTTGATACTGATTTATTTCCGTTTTTCAAATAACACGTTACACAAACAAGGAAATAAATGCCAGGACAATGAAGCGGGGACGCTTTCTCTAATATAAAATACGGTTATTTCTGATTCGAAAACTTATTCCCTAGGAGTTTCTGTGTAGAAAGTGAATGGAAAAAGGTTGCATTAGGGAGGTGATTTAGTAAAAAATCACTGGATAAATTTATTGGATAACAGCATCACTTAATCCATTGGATAAGGATTTATCCGTCGAATAGTGCTATCCACCCTTCGTACAACCCGGCCCAAAACTTTTTTACCAGGTTGGTTGAGGCACCTTTTAAGGGTTTCTTTCACTTTGGAGTGCAAAGATACCAAAGAGCAACAGTTGCGAATACCGTTTTTCTGGTTTTCAATCAGCTGATAAAAGCCTTTGGATCTCATTATCTGCTCCAAAAGGTTGTCAAAACCTGATAATGTTGTGCCTTTAAYCAGAAAGGATGCTATGTCAAGTGAAACCCAGTAATAGCAGTCTTAGAAAGTGAAATAAGTGTTTCATATTTCGATCCTATCAGACTTCGACGAATGTGCGGAACCAGCCAATAACACCTGTACGGTTAACGAGACCTGTATCAACAAAGTCGGCAGCTACGAGTGTCAGTGCAAGACAGGATACAGGAAACAAACACCGGGCAGCAACTGCACAGGTAATAGAACTCTTCTAGAAATGAAGCCGTCTGGACTCATAGTTGACTCTGGTGTGATTTCCCTCTCAAGGCACACTCAAGAGTTTACGATAGCATTATGGTTACTCCATTCCCAACTAGGTTTCTATATATGTAGTGAGTACCTATGAAGCCGTCTGGACTCATAGTCGAACGTGGGAATAAAAGTCTAGATTTCCTTCTCAAGGAAGCCGTCTAGACTCACAGATGCATGACCATGGCGTTAAAGGAAAGAAATATCCCTATCAGGGGTGCTTTGGGGTGGAAAGGAGGAGGGGGGGATTCTATTCTATCTATATAGACCCCTTGCACTGAGTCCCGGGAGGAATTGTTCTGGGGAGCAATACAATGGATTCTTTTTGCATAAGAAAAGACGACCTACTATTTTTGTCACCCAAACAATTCCTCTAGGAAATCAATGCAAGGGGTCTATAGTATAGTTAGTATCTAAAGACCGTAGTAACACCTACCCCACATAAAATATAATACCATAGCTCATAAAACCGTGGTCTATTTTTGCAGATGTGGACGAGTGTACTAATCTAAACATCGGCAACGATTGTAAGGCTAACTCAGACTGCACAAATACTCTTGGAGGCTACAATTGTACTTGTAAGAAAGGCTATGAGGGAAATCCTAAGCAAGGCTGCACAGGTTAGTAGAGCCCCGAGTAGATTCTTACATCCTTTTTTGCCCATGCAAAATAGTCCCTTTTGCCCATCGGTAACTGAATACCGCTGTGTTTTGTGACTGAAGACTCATTTGCACTTACTTAGCTTGGCTTTAGGGCAAATCATTTGCAAAAGAGTAGAGAATATCATAGAGAAAAAGAAGGAGAGCGTCTCCCTTGTGTGGCTGCAGGGTGGTAGTAAAGGACAAGGCATCACCTCTACCGTGGGCACCACAGTGCAAATCTTTAAAAGCACTTTCTCAGGCGCTATAGAGTTTATATCTGTGAATAGACACGAGACAGCAAGGTCCTTTTTGTTATTTCCCACCATTTAATATAATCTGGGGAAAATAGGAATTCTAAGTAGTTGTAGTACTAGGTCAATCAGCAATCTATTGTGATCAGCAGTCACAAGAGCCAAGCAGTCATGAAACTCATTTCTTTGAGGCTTTTTTTCCTATCAGACATCGACGAATGCTTGCAAGATGGAAGATGTAACCACAAATGTCAGAATACGGATGGATCTTTCAACTGCACGTGTTATGATGGATACAAACTTAACGAGACAAGCCCTGGCTTCTATGATTGTGTTGGTACGTACACGAGTCGAGTTCTTGTATACTGTATCTTGAAAATCCAGCAGGTAGCTGCGAGCTGCACGGTGAAATTTAATTTTTACAGTGACTAACAATTACAGTTTAATTTTCTTGTGCGCTGATTGGTTAGTTTTTATCATCAATAAGAGGACAGACAGATAAAGCTGACGTCAACAAGCCGTTGAAATTTCGCAGAATATTGAAAATCTCAGTAACAGGACTCGAGTTGTTATATTTTTTGTGTAGTATTAACTTATTTTCTTTCCTTCTTAATGGTTTAGATATCGACGAATGCGAGTATCCAATCAATAACGATTGCGAACAGATCTGTCAAAATATACCGTCTTCCTACGTATGTTCGTGTAAAGAGGGTTACAAACTAGATTCAAACAACAAGACTTGTTCCGGTAAGACACTGACGGAAAAACCGTCGTATTTCTATGAAAGGACAGAGGGAAGAAATGAAGATAAAATGAAAGGAAGGAAGGATAGACTGATGGATAGATGGATGACATGGTGTGTTGTGTGGTACGGTGTAGTAAGGTAGTAATAGATATATGGGATGGTGTGGAGTTTAGTGGTGTGGTATGCTACGAGTATTGGATGGATGGGATGGGATGGGATGGGATGGGGTGGTGCGGTGTGGTACAGTGTAGTAAGGTGGTTATGGATATATGGGATGGTGTGGAGTTTAGTGGTGTAATATGCTACGGTTATTGGATGGATGGGATCGGATGGGATCGGATGGGATGGGATAAAAAAAAAAAGACTTTATTTAACGAGGGTGACATACATTACTGGTGACCCAGTAGTTTCCATTATGGCCCTCCTACGATTAATAAACTGAAATGA